GGCCAGGGCTGGGAGAAAATCTGGTATGTGAAAGATCTAGGAGCTCCATTTTCTGTTAACTCCCCTGGACTCATTAATGTTCTTGACAGCATCTTCCAGCCAAAGGGATCCTTATCTTGTGTTGATAGCAACCATAATCCCCTACAGACACTAGGCAAGACTTCTGACTTTACTCAGCAGCATGCTGAGCCAGGCCCAGCACCACCCTGTGATGGATGCTGATGCACTACCCGGACGACTTCCTAGCTGCAGGAAGGCAGGAAGCACGGGAGGCTTTTAAAAAGTCCTCAGCGTTGTTCTCAGCACTGTGAGTCTTTACTGCTGCTGCTGGTCAAAGAGGTTGTGCTATTCAGGAACTGAGCATACACCTTCCTCAGCATAAGGATTATTCCTCTTTGGTCCTCCAGTAGATCACCACTATTAATCCCGTGCAGGAGGTATAGGAACAATCTCTGTATGTGAATTTTGCTTACGATATCTTAGCAGGTCTTTTTGTGCCAGAGTGTCTGTTCAGTTGTTAGAAGGTTTGCACCTACTATGATCCTCTCTTCAGTGGGGTGGGTGCCAACACATTCCTTCCTGCTCAGTTCTGGTCAGCAGCTGGTAGGTTGGCACTGTGCTAACAGACATGCCGATTTTAGACCGTTATTCCTCAGGTTGGAGCCTGTGGTAGGCAAGCCATGTGGGCAAGGATCAATGAAGATGTCTTTTGCCTGGAGTTTTAGTGCAGGATTTAGTGCAGGATCATTGGGCCTCAAATAGTTATCTGTCTCACACCAGAGGGGAGGGTTGAGCTTTCCCAGCGCAAGCACTAGCTGGACTGATTAGTTTTCAGTATCCTCACGACTATTCAGGTATCCATCCATATGTGCTGAATGTTAGCAATGCTTGGTACTATATTATTGTGATTTGATACAAGTTTTGGTCTGCTTGGGTTTTTTTTCCTATTCATGCATTTCTGTGACTTTTTCTTACCCAGTTATACCAGATAAAGGTTAGCACACTGTGGGTAGAGCATGAAGTAATCCAACAAACTGAAAAATCATCTGCTGCCACATTAGATACCCAAAACCTGCAAGAAACAGCAAACATAGTGAATCAGAAGTTCACAAAGAGCTCAGCAACCCAGCATTAGGAGAAGCTAGCCTCATTTCTTTCAGTTCATCATCCTTCCATACCCCAATGGAGCACAGAACAGCAAGCTATGACAGAGAATAGCAAGATATGTGTAAATGGAAAGAAATGTAAAATTTAAGTCAGTTCCCACCTGGGGAAGTCATTATCTGTCTGAAAATGGCTCTGAGGTCTCAGTAGAGACTATTTCTTAGAGCTTTTTTCTGAAAGGCCTTCATATAATAATGTAGCTCAATTCATCTACACAATTTTTAATTCTAAGGACATATTAGACAAATTGGTTGAATAATTTCAACCACCTAGGCAGCCCCTCTGGGTGATAATAATCAAAACAAGCTATTTAGTTAATGATACAGATTCTTACCTTCAAATGCCCATTGGCCTTTGTGAAATAACTACACAAAATATATGTATAGAGATAGCATATCCTGCAAAATCTACTAAACTAGTACGCTTGTAGTTTCTGTCCTCCTCACAAACTAATTTTCCAGTGCTTTTTTGCCATCTATTTTATTGATAAATAAATAGAGCTCAGATTACATAGCACTGGTTTTCTACTCAACTACCACTGTAAGACAATATAAACCTTCACATTCAAAAACTTTTAGATTATAACTGAAAGTCCATTTAAGATATGGTTGCCAAAACCTTTACTAGACCTAACACTGGCAAGTGCCCATGTGGAGTAACAGAAAAGCCTCATCAGTATTCTCCTAGATGCAGTCATACTACCTTCCCCTTCACTCCCTTTTAAGCCATACATTAACATTGTTTACTATGTATCTTTTATGAGAAAGCAAATTTCTCTTCCACTCACACTCATAATTTTTCTCCTAAAATTTGATGAACTGAAACAATATGCTAAAAAACCAATTGTTTCTTCCTTTACACAGATTCAGCCACAATTACTATGAGAAAATTTGCCATTGTTGACTTTCTCAAACAAAAGTGACGCAATTCTTGAGATAAGCGTTTTGACTAAATACCACTCTGGATCATCTGTCTTTCAGCCTAAGTCAAGATATACTTGGAAGAGTAGTGGTTTTGCTCAGACTTCTCCAAAACTGTGAAAGTGTTCACACACATCCATGCATGCACACTAATTTCAATTGCGACAGATAATTTTTTCTAATTCTTTTTCTAAGCATTTAAAATGGGATATCTAGAGAGTGACACGTCTTAGATGTAACACTAACCTCTGGCTTTTCAATTGTCTTTGAGTTCATTTTTCAGAAAACAGCAGCTATGGTTTAATGGGAAGACTCTCTGAAGTCTACAGATATCAATTTGCCTTGCTTAGTACATTCAGACAAAGAATAATCTTGCTGTTTTGAAAAAGGCACACATTGGGGAAATCTGATCAATTGGACATGACTGTGGCTGAAGTTCAACAATTCCATCAATGCTACATGCTCTTCTTTTATGTATCTGTAGTTTTATCAGACTTGAAATGTCTGATTTTTGAAAAGTCAGCTCTCTAGGGAATTTGCAGGAAGGCTTGGAAAGAGT